CGACCACGTGTTCCCTCGCCGTTCACCGTTAAATCCATGTCCGCTTCAGTCTTCCGTTTTCTTCGGTGTGATTAATTTCCGTGTATTCCAATACTGGCACATGACTAAACCAACAAACCGTGTGTTCAGTACCATGTTTCTTCCGATTCACGCCTGATGCCTGAGGTGCAGCTTACAATGTTAACAACCCGTGTCGTCCGTTATCATTGATGGCTGCAGGCTCTTAGCATGCATATTTAGGATCCTGGACGGTTGTAACCCGTGTCATTGTGCATTATTTCGCCGTTTGGCCACTCTATCGCAGTCCCACTGGGCTTCTTTGCATTGCAGCTTGAAGCATTGTCATTATGTCATAATGGTGTGCCATTGCAATCACAAAAGACGGGCGAAAGTCGTGACTGTGGTGCTAGAAAAATCGGCGTGAAAATCGCTGTCACTCGACCCGTAATGGCCGGCGTACCAGCCAGCTGCAGAGGGGTCCGCTGCATAGATCTCAGCGGGAACAAAGGACCGTCGTTACGATCTGCTCGGCTGTGATAGTGCGATCTACCGATATGGAATGATCACCGCTCAGCCCAGCCAGTTGTACAGAACGTGATTTATACCGGCTGCCTCGGAGCACGCGTTCTGTGAAGTGATACTGACTGCGCTGAGGATTGATGAGCATCTCATCTTACTTTTGTTATAGTATTTGTCAAAATTGATGTTTTTTTTTTTGTTCAATGAAACTTTATTGTTTATTTATAGACGTTTATTGACTGAAAGTGAAGGAAAGACTCCGAAGCAGTTGCCCTCGGGCCTTATGGACAACGAAACATTGCATTGCACAATGCACAGTAAGGTGAATATGAGTTACAACGTAAACGTGCCGAGGTGTTCAAACTGACACAAAGTAATATGGTGTCCCCTCCCCAACTATGGTTGAACTGTGTCGTTCCCAGTCAGCCACCCAGGACTCCGAACCCATCATCGCGCGAGTCCGGCGTCTTCTCTGCAATCTCGATCTGTCTGCATTCTTCAACAGGCAACGACGGGATCAGCGTCAGCATGTTCCGCACCTTCTTTTGGGGCATGGGTCACGTCCTGTTGGACATAGTCAACTCCAGCCTGACGACCAGCAACGTGCCCGGCCCCTGGAAACATGCAATGGTAACGCCAATCCCAAAAGGACAAGGACCATCGGAGCCAGCAAACACTCGCCCGATCTCCATCCTGCCGGCGATAATGAAGGTTGTTGAGCGGGTCGTCCAGCGCCAGCTGGTGCAGTACTTGGAGGCCAACCAGCTCCTGTCAACCACCCAACATGGCTACCGCAGCGGCCGCAGCACCGAGACGGCACTCAGCGTCATCACCGACCGTGCGCTGGAGGCGATGGACGCTGGAGAGGTGTCGATCCTGGTGCTGTTGGACCTCTCCAAATGTTTTGACGTTGTGCCGCACGGGAGACTGCTGGATAAGCTCGCACTGTATGGGGTAGATACCGAGTGGTTCGGCAACTACCTAAGCGGACACACTCAGCAGGTGCAGATGGCCAGTGGTGACGGTGGATACGTGCGGTCGAGTGTCAAGTCAAACACAATTGGCGTGTTCCAAGGCGGATCGTTAAGTTGTATGTTGTATTCGGTGTTTGCAAACGAAATGTGTCTGTACCTGCCTGACGGTGTCACAATCGTGCAATATGCAGACGATACTCAACTTCTTGTGAGCGGTAAAAAGCGTGACTTGGCACAGGTCATCCAACGCATGGAGCAGGCGCTAGAGTGTCTCTTCCAGTGGTTCTGCGCAAACACTATGAAGCTAAACACCGCTAAGACGCAGGTCCTTGTACTAGGAACCCCCGCTATGCTGCGAGGACTGCCGCCTGTCACACTGACTGCCATGGGTGCTGTTATTCCGGACTCTAGAGTTGTCAAAAATCTCGGAGTGGTCATGGACAATCATCTCAGCTTCAGGTCGCACATCGATTATGTGACAGCTAAGTGTACTGGTGTCCTAATCGGTCTGATGCACGCCAAGCACGTTATACCGAAGGCCTCTCTGCCTGTGGTAGTAGAAGCGCTCGTGAACTCCGTTATCAGATATTGCTTCTCGCTATACGGTACGTGCACCGCTACTCAGATTCATCGTGTGCAGAAACTGCTGAACTTCGGTGCTCGAGTTATTAGCGGCCGTCGTAAATACGACCACATCAGTGACGTTCTGTGCGACTTGGAGTGGTTGAATGCCCCTAACCTTGCTAAGTACCATCGCATCAGTTTGGTGCACAGGGTCACTACGACTGGAAAGCCGGAAGCGATCGCACAAACCATCGGTGACACCCTGCGTCACTCGTACGAGACGCGCAGAGCTGCCGACCACGCGCTGCCGAGAATCCGCACGGAAGCCGGTCGCCGGCGGCTCTGTTATAGCGCAGTGCGTGAGTACGACTCTCTGCCGTTTGACGTCACCGTGCGAAACTTTCGGCGCCAGCTCAAAAAGCATCTATTGAAAGAACAGTGTGAGGCGCATGGTTAGCTCAGGTCGAGTGGTTGAGTGCTGCTTTTTATGCCTGGTCTTTTACTTGTGTTGTAAATGTTTGACGTGTGCCAATGAAAAACCATGCACCATGGATTTGTCATGAATATATTATCTGTATCTGTATCTGTATCTGCCCCCTCTCTGCAATCTGCTCCGCTCGCCCAGACGCGCTGTTTACTGCCCCGTTAGCGCCGCGCCGGGCCCCCGGCCGACCGCCGTCTTCGGGGCCCGTGCAGCGACGCGCGCCCTGCACTGGCGTCTGCAAGATTAATGCCCGAGATGCGGCGCCGGAGCGGGGACACGGTTTTCGCATTTGGCCGGCCGGGCCCGGATTAGGCTACCGTCTCGGCGCCGGACTGTTTTTCCCACTCGGCGGTGGGGACGCGCCGATGCTCTCTGACTCCGCTCTGGTCCCGCTGCCCGCTCTGAATCCGCTCCGACTCCGCTCTGACTCTTCTGACTCTGCTCTGGTCCCGCTGCCCCGCTCTGCAATGCCGCTCTGACCCCGCTATGATGCCGCTGCTCCGCTCTGACTCCGCTTTGGTCCCGCTGCCCCGCTCTTGTACCGCACTGACTCTAATATGGTTCGCTCTGAGCCTCTGCCGGTTGTGCCCGCTCACCGGACTGGATGCTGGTTCCGCTCTGTGGCCTTCCTCCGTCGCTGCCCCCGCAGCTACAAAGTACTCTTGCATTGCACTTCCTCGGCGGTCACTAGCGATTTTCTCACACCACATCCACGTACTGTAAATTCAATTTTCATCATACCTGATACCAGATATCATATTTTGCATTACAAAGATATCCCAAACCTCCTTAATGCAAAAAAAGATGAAATTGCGAAGCAAGGAAGTCCTGCAAATCAGCTAAAGTTATTTGGACAAAACGCCCATTTGTGGGGCAAAATGGCAACAGGCCCCACCAACTGTATAAGAAGCTCCGCCCCTGCCAGTGCCCATCCTGCCCAGTGATATGTCATCTTCCTGTTCCGTTTCCTTCCCCGCCGGTTTCTCTGCGTAGTTTCTGCAGTCTCCTTTCAGCCCGACTTGGTTCGTCCTGCCGAGATTAGCCAGTACGAACACGTGCTCGTGGCGTCGTGACGCCGGTCTTTGGCGACAAAAGGCCAGATTTCGTAGTTAACTGTACCAGTACATGTCGCCCGTCCCCTTCCGGCGACATTTGGACGGATTTGTCCGGCCGCGCGCGGCTAAAGCGGAGGACTACACGTCCCGTACGGCCCACTCCTGGAAAGGCGTGTCCGACCGGTATGAGCCGATCCGGCCATTGTCTGCCGGCGCTGGCCCCCAAATCCAAACATTTACATAGGGCTGAGCCTCCGCCGGGCGCTGTGACGTGACTGGCGACAACATGGCAGCGGGGTCGTTACTCGTCGTTACATCGTTACGGGCCGACAGGCAAGCCCCGCCCCTGCACGCGACTGGGACCAACATGGCAGCGTGGCAGACCGTCGGACTGGCCGGCAGCGACCCTCGGGGAGGGACGGTGGTACTGTTCGGACTTCCGTCCATACCAGTCACTTCAGAAACAGACCTAGTTGGAAGGGTGGATGAAGTGCATTATTTCTTCCCAGTCACAGCCCCAGGAGCACTCATTGGAACTCAGTTGCGTGCCAGGGGTCAGTTGTCCATTTATGCCTTTCCCACGGGCCACGGGGTCATGGGCTTATTATAAGCTGTGATGGCACTAGCTGATATAATAGCTCTGCAGAAGTGCAACGTCTCTTTTGTATTACATGGAAACACGGATTTGACTATGATCTGTTGTCTTGCTGAGCTGTCGCATCTCAGACTCAGAAAATGTCTGAATTTGGGGACGCTGGAGTGAGTTGGTGTTTGTTTGTTTTTTGTCTTTTAGTTCCCTGAAATTCGCATCCAGAATATGCGTTTGTGCCCTCGATAACTCGCAAGCAGTAAGGGTTGAATGGTATACTCATTAGCTGTGAAAAATTAACGTCCGGCTGCCTAAGAATGCATACGTCTACTCTCTATCATGTATTTGGCTCGTGTCAATTTACGCAATCATTACTCGTTCCATTGATAACTTTTCTTTCTAAATAAAACAGCCGAGTTACCTATTGCAGTATCACGTTTACAAACGGCCTGCCACTTACGGCCTATCGTGCGGCGATCGATCCATCTTCACGGTGCTGTCACGGCGACACGGCGCTGCGGACGGCGGCGTTCCGTGATGGGCGCCGTTATCGTCTCACGATGCCCGGATTATCGCCGGACCGCGGCCGGCCGTGTAGGTCATGCATTATTGCCGCGCCGAGGCTCGGCAGTGTGCCGTGCACGAGAGGTCAGCGCGTCGTGTCGCCGTCCGCCCCCTGTCCGTGCGGCCCGCCTGGGCTGTCCCGATGTCTCGCTGTCCGCCCGCCCGCCTTGTCCGGCTGTCTGCCCGCCTGTCCTGCCCGCCCCGCTGTCAGTCGCTGGCTGTCCGCTGAGGGCCGTCAGTGACCATTCAGCGGCTATGTTCGGTATTTGGTGCTACCAACCATCACCTGGCTACTGATGGCAGATCGGTGTCGGTTTCATCGCGACCACATTCCGTTTACGGCCCAATGAAACTGGCACGTGTGCCGTGCGGCGGCGCCCCCGGCACGCGGCGCTCGTCGAATGCGACCGTTCATGACGCTCGGGGACTCGTCAGGTGACAGCGCCGCTCTTGTATGTGTTTAATTGAACGATGTCAAACTGAGTGCCGGCGGAAGGTATTTGATAAGGGCGGGGCGCTTTGATGGCTGGTGATGGGTAATAAGGCCTCGGACAATGCCATTAGGCGGAGCCGCCCACTACTCGCCCAATAGGCGTTACATTTAATGAAACAAGCGTCTGAATACGCGGCTCTAATGGCCATGCCTCATATTAATGATGTTGTCTCCCTTTTTGTTCCATGTTGCACGTGGCTGTCATCTGACCGTCATCTGACCGTCTTCATCGCCGTCATCTCATCGTCATCGGGTGCCTTTCGACCGTCATTCTGCTGCCATCATTAGGGCGTGAGTATACATTACAAGTGTGTCTGCAATGAAACACTATTGATTGAAAACTAGCCGCTGAACCACTATTGAAAATTGTTGATAGTTTTAGTGAAGCCACATACCTACCATCTGCCGCATAGTTTTTACTTTCTGAATAACTGCGTTGGTAACATGAAATGTAATCTCCTATCTACCTATTGTCTTTTCTAATTACCGATACCGTGACCGTTACGTTTGTGTATGTTTTACGTCTGTATGTTGTCCTTACGGTGACACAGCACACGTTTTGTTCTGAATTGTTTGTGTATCTCGCCGGCCTCTGGTGGGCCGGTCCCGTGCCCACCAGCCCCCCGTCCTCGGCCGGTATCCGTCTGTTCTCTGATAAAGTGGGCCGTCTGTACAAAGGCCCCGACCGACCGACAGGGTTCCGCCGTCTCTGGACGGGCCCTTCCGACAAAGCAGGCCGTTTTTCTCAGAACACACGCGGTTTTTCTTGGACTCTGAAGGGTAGTGCGTCATGTCATGTCATGGTCGCTGACTCTACTGTGTCCTCTTTTTCATGTGGTGTGGCCGCTCTCCTCCAGTATGTAAGTACACTTCGTGTCATATTATCTCTCTACTCCAGAACCCTGTATTCTTATGTTCCGGTACAGTATGTCTGGAGGCACGGTGCCTGTCATGCTGTTTTGTAGCCTTTGTGTTTATCATGTTGATGAATACCTTGGTGCCTTCTTCTTTTTTTTTCGGGCAATGGTGTTCCGTGCAGAGCAATCTTGATTTGGATCATTTATGGTTTTCACAACCGTTGACACTAAAGGAGCAATTTTATGTACGTAACTATCCAACATTCGTTTGTCATTCTTAGCTCAGCTTAACCCGGACAGATGCATTTGACATTCGACCTCTCTCCTAATGTTCACGTTCCCAGCAGCTGTAGTGCTGGTTTTGTCCCACGCGCAGTTGTCCCACAACTACTCTGACAGTTATTAGACACCTGTCACATCGCGGCACATACTCGGGGCGCGGAGTGGTGTGTTCTCACCCTGTCAGCTGTCAGGGGTGACAGTTGTGTTGACAGGACGTCTGTCAGGCGCGGCGACTGTCGGCAGGTCTGTTTCGCGGCCATGCGCCGTGCTGGTGACAGTTGAGCCATGCGCGGGTGCCATCAGAAAGACGGCCATAAGAACATCATCAGGACAGCTAGTAACGTCCTTGCTCCTTAGAGCTTCCTGCAACAATGCACTCTGATCAGATTCGCTGGTAGATTGTCGAGAACACGATAATAGCACTTGGACATTGCACAGTGCACATATAAATCGTCGCTAGCGGCCGGACGTTTTGTTCTATTACCCAGATTAGCATTGTAACGCGACGTTTACGTGAATTTACGGTCGCTGTTAGTTTGCATAGTTGCACGCCTGTGCAGTGAGTTTGCACAGAGCTCGGTTTTCTGTGATCGCGGTTTGAGGGAGCAGCTCTGGAGTTGATCGGCTCTGTCGCTACCGGCACGGCTGACCGCCGGCGCACACGCAGTGCGGCGCGCAGGGGGCTATTTACGGCTGGCGCGCCGCCCTGCCGGCGCCGGGTGTCATGTCGGCCGCCCCCGCCCCCGCCCCCGCCCCCGTCCCGGGAGGGTGTGTTAATTTGCTCGAGAGGCGGGGGTGTCGGCTGCAACGAGTCTCGTTGTCGACGGGTCACAATTAGCGCCCTTCATCGATGCCGTCGGCGGCGGCGGCGGCGTGGCGAGACGGCGGGCCCGTCGGTGGCGGCGCCAGACTGGAGCGACGCCAGACCCGGCGGCGGCGGCCGAGCTGGTCTAAGGCAGACAGTGTCAGACTGATGCAGGCTTGCCCAACCCTTGCCTGGTCGACAGGGAGGCGATTGCGTTGAGGCCAGCGGAGTCATAGTCGCGGAGTCCCTCCGATTAGCGAGCTTCTCCCGGGATCTTCTCATCTCCAGCAGTGATTCAGTTAGGGATGGCCGCAGGACCGTCCAATGTCCATAAGCCTGTGACAGACGATACGATTGTTAGAGGTTTGTCGGCTTTGATCATTTGACGGACGAATCTCTAGCCTGTTTTTAGACCGGGCGGGGGGGGGGGGGGAGGATCGGTGGCCGCCCTAGACCGAAAGTGACCAAAGGAATCGAAATTAATGGCAATAGCCATGCAGTCCTGGTTGTGCCTTTCTCGTTTTATGTGGGCAAGATGCACAAGAAGCACACTTAGGATAACGAACACTTGGTGCTACCTGGCGTCTTATCTCTAGGTATCAGTAACTACATGTAACATGCAATTGCACTTTTCATTTGCGTAGGTCGCAAACGCAATACAAAAACCGTTTGCACACAAAAGCAAACGGTCATCGGACACTGTGATGTAGGCATGATAGTCAACGCCGCCGGTGGCACACGTCATGCTGGACTGGACACAATAACTAATATGCAGATAGTAACATTACTGCTTGTAAGTTTTCTCGCCTGTGTTGTGCTTTCTATGCTTGGAATGAGTGCAGCTTTCCGTCCTTGAAATGCGTCCCTATTTATGCAGTAAGACATTTCGATCAATGTTTCGTCCAGTGCTCGGCATTTACAACTGAGTGGGAGTGGGTGTGTTACGGAGTGCAGAAGTAAGAAGATGTGGTGGGTCGGTAGCTGTAGTGGCCCGCTGTCCGTGAAAAATGGTCGCGACATGGCAGGAACATCGCTCAACTTGTAGAGGAAACCACCGCGTTCTAGCAGCTATCCCGGGGCAAAAATAAAACCGTCGATGTTGTAAAGCAATTGATTGCTGTCGTGTTCCTTACAGGCATTTTGTGATGTGAGAGTCTAGAAATGGTGCAGCTTGCAGTTGCTATGTTGTACCATTTTTGCTCGATATTTCCGTTTCGTATAATTTCCTCGGCCGAAATCCCAACGCAGGCTTTGCGCGCCTGATGGAACCAGCAAAAATCCAAATCGGCTTACGGGAAAAGTATGCGACATTTTGGCGTAAATCTGCAAGTGACAATCGCTATCTACCTTAAATAGGTGGTCCCCTTATCAATCTTTCGGCGCTGACGAGGCGGACGGAGTGGGGACATGACAGATGGCTTCACGGTCTGTCGACTCTGCGCTATCCGTGACGGACCGGGCGGCCGGCGCCGAGTCAGGGCTCCGGGCGGCACAGAGTCATGAGCCAGACTTGTAAACGATTCAAAAAAATTCAATCAATTCAATCACGACTCACTTGATGAAATGACCGATTCAATCATAACTCAATCAAACAGTCTGATTTTCCAAGCGATTCAATCACGACTCATGGACCCTGTGATTCAACTCAATCACGACTCATCCCATTATCAGCGATTCAGGGAATGACTCAACTCATGATTTAACTCAACGCGATTCAATCAAGATGTTATCTAAAATTTATACATATGTGATATCAATTTAAGTCATTTTTGGAAACTGATACCAAACAGATACCAACCAAATACACTAAGAAAATACCAAAAATCATAGAAAAGTACTAAATCTATAGGTACTGAACTCAACAAAGTTGTAGATATTTATATAAATACGGTGTTAAGATGATAATTTAAGTACAGAAAAGACAAGCTCTGTTACAAATGAAGCTACCAGAGACTTATAAAAATTCATTTATCTGCTTGGCGCTTGCAAAAGGAAACATGCAAAATTGCACAGGACATATATTATCAGCATCATCGAAAAGGAACAAAATTTGCAAATCAATTGTGATACCAAACTTAAATAGCTGGTGATCAGCCATTCAAAAAAAAAATATTGATTGATACTTTATGAAGCAGTGGTAAAGCCAGTAAAGCATTACACAGGACTAGACATTTTCGGCGTGCTACAAGTTTTCTTTACTATCAAGAATACGGAATATCGACACATACGAAGTTATTCAATAGTTACATAATAGAAACTGAATGCTCTCATGATAAAACTACCTCAACCATCCATATTTTCAATGACAAAACAACAATTCCAAGCCCGCCCCACGTAAAGGCCTGGCTACCAGGACGCGTTTTCTGCGTGCGTTTTTTGCTTTTGCGAGTTTGCGTGATTTGCATAATACGGTTCTAGAAAGGAACAATATTATGTTTTGTTTTTGTTATATTTTTTACAAAAATTTTAATTATTAAATTATCATAAAAGGTTTTATTAACGTGTATATAATATACGCAAAACATGCAAGCTCGCAAAAAACGCACGCAGAACACGCATAGTGTAGCCAGGCCTTTAGTACTGAAGTACGCATGCGCTAAGTGGGCAGCCATCTTTAATTTAGCAGCAGACTGCAGAACCATGGATTACTTAACTATATAAAATACATAGTTTATATTTTTAGATTCAATTAAGCATATTTATGCATGCGTGTAAAACAGCTTTTTATCCTGTCCAATTCATTAAAGAAAAAATATCCAACAGTAGAAATCTAAATTGGTTTGGCAATATGTATTTAGCCCAGCACTAGGTAGTTGCAGC